AAAACTTCTGCACACAAACAGTTATAGACCACACATGATGCCATTTGCAGAAAGGAGAAATGTACACAAATTTAAAGATGCCATATTAAATCATAACTGCATAAAAATTAACCGTAGTATATAACATGTGACTAATAATTTTGTGGCGACCTCCTGTTGCTATGGAGATGAGCTCAAGTATTGTGAGTATCCACTTAAAATGCGGTGCAACATTAATCATCTTCAGTGAGCAGTATGTCTCTCCAGTGTATTGTGTATTGCAATATAAAATAGTCTCTCAGCTGGGCATGGTGGCTCATACCTGTAATCCCAACACTTTAGGAGGCCGAGGTGGGTGGATCACTTGAGGTCAGGAGTTCGAGACCAGCCTGGCCAACATGGTGAAACCCTGTCTCTACTAAAAATACAAAAAACTTAGCTGGGCATGGTGGGTGCATACCTGAAATCCCAGCTACTCGGGAGGCTGAGGCAGGATAATCGCTTGAACCCGGGAGACGGAGTTTGCAGTGACCCAAGATCATGCCACTGCACTCCAGCCTGGGGTCTCAACAACAACAACAAAAAGTAATCTCTTACAACTCTTGCATATTTTTCCTGGTATTTAGTACAATATCATAAACCTAGAATAACACCATGAAACCCATACAAGGTGCCATTGGTGATGCTGGAAGTGTTCCCAAGAAGCAGAGAATGCTCATGACATTACAAGAAAAAATTGAATTGCTTGATATGTACTGTAGACTGAGGTCTACAGAGGTAGTTGCTTGCCGTTTCAAGATAAATGAACTCTTTTTTTTTTTTTTTTGAAATGATATCTTGCTCTGGCCCGGCCAAATGAATCATTTTTGAGAGTCTGAGGCAGGAGGATTGCTTGAGCCCAGTAGATAGAGACCAGCCTGGGCAACAAAGTAAGACCTTGTCTCTACAAAAAAAAAAACAACAACTTTTTTTTTAAGATAAATCCGGCGTAAGAACCAATTGTGTAAAAAAAAAAAAAAAGGAAATTCATGAAGTTGTCACTGTAGCCACGCCAACAGGCGCAAAAACCTTGCACTTTTTGCCAAATGCCTTTTTATGTGCATAATATGCAGCTTTTATGTGGGTACTATAAGAAAGGCATACCTATTGACTCTAATATGATTTGAGAAAAAGCAAAGTCATTATATGGCAACTTAAAGCAAAAAGGTGGTGAAGGATCTAAAGCTGGAGTATTTAATGCCAACAAATGATGGTTTGCTGATTTTAGAAAGAGGTCTGGCTTAAAAAATGTCAAGATAGGCTGGGTGCAGTGATGCCCGTAATCGCAGCACTTTGGCAGTCCAAGGTGGGTGGATCATTTGAGGTTAAGAGTTTATGACCAGCCTGGCCCACATGGTGAAACCCCATCTTTACAAAAAATATAAAAATTAGCCAGGCGATGGTGGCCCACACCTATAATCCCAGCTACTCGGGAGGCTGAGGCAGGAGCATCGCTTGAGCCTGGGAGGCGGGGGTTGTGTGAGCTGAGATCCTGCCACTGCACTCCAGCCTGGGTGACAGAGTGAGACCCAGTCTCAAAAACAAAAACAAAAACAACCAAAAAAAAAAAAAAAAACGAGATACAGGAGAAGCAGCTTATGCTAACTAAGAGGCAGCAGATGAATTCTCAGACACCATTAAGAAAATCACCGAAGAGAAAGGATATCTGCCTGAACAGGTATTTAATGCAGATTAAGGTACCCTATTTTGGAAAAAAAAAAAAAGCCACAAAGGACATTAATAGTAAGGAAGACCAACCTGGGCAACATGGGAAACTCTGTCTCTACAAAAAATAGAAAAATTAGCTGGGTGTGGTGGCGCATGCCTGTTGTCCCTGCTACTCAGGAGTCTGAGGTGGGAGGATTGCTTGAGCCTGGAAGATTGAGGCTGCAGTGAGCTATGACTGCACCACTGAACTGTAGCCTGGGTAACAGAATAAGACCCTATTTCAGTTTTCAAAAAAGAAAAAAAAAAAAGAAGAGAAGCAAGTACCAAGATTGAAGGCAAGAAGAGATAGGCTAACTCTACTGTTTTATGCAAAAAACCCCAGCACTTTGGGAGGTAGAGGTAGGACGACTACCAGAGCCCAGGAGTTTGAGTCAGGTTTGTCATCAGAACTGCCCTTGTCTATAAAGCTGTTAACCCCCAGCCTCGAAGAGCAAAGATAAACACCAGCTACCAGTGTTTAGGTTGTGCAATAAGAAGGCTTAGACAACAAGAACCCTTTTTCTGGATTGGTTCCACCAATGCTTTGTCCCTGAAGTCAGGAAGTACCTAGTCAATAAGAGACTGCCTTTTAAAGTTATTTTGATATTGAACAATACTCTGGCCACCCAGAGCCCCATGAGTTCAACACCAAAGGCATAAAAATGGTCTATTTGCGGCTGGGCATGGTGGTTCACGCCTGTAATCCCAGCACTTTGGGAGGCCGAGGCGGGGAGATCACCTGAGGTCGGGAGTTCCAGACCAGCCTGACCAACTTGAAGAAACCCCGTCTCTACTAAAAATACAAAATTCACCAGGCCTGGTGGTGCATGCCTATAAAGCCAGCTACTCGGGAGGCTGAGGCAGGAGAATCACTTGAACCTGGGAGGTGGAGGTTGCAGTGAACTGATAACACGCCATTGCATTCCAGCCTGGGCAATAAGCGTGAAACTCTGTCTCAAAAAGAAAGAAAGAAAGAAGGAAAGAAGGAAGGAAGGAAGGAAGGAGAGAAGCAGAGAAGAGAAAAGAAAGAAAGAGGTCTATTTGCCTCCAAACAGTATTTCAATCAACTACTACATCAGGGGGTGATAAGGACCTTTAAGGCTCATTACACACAGTCCTATATGGAAAATAGACTGTCAAAGCTATGGAAGAGAACTGCAATAGAGAGAACATCATGAAAGTTTAGGAGGGTTATACCATTGAAGATGCCATTGTTGTTATAGAAATAGCTGTGAAGACCATCAAGCCTGAAACAATAAATTCCTGCTGGATAAAACTGTGTCCAGATGTACATATGACTTCACAGGGTTTATGACAGATAATTAAAATCATGAAAGAGATTGTGGATATGGCAAAAAAAAAAAAAAAAAAAGTGAGGGGTAAAGGGTTTTAAGATATGATCTTGGATAAATTCAAGAGCTAATAGACACCAAATCAGAGGAATGAACAGAAGATAACTTGATGGAGATGAGTGCCAGATGATGAGGGAAAAACACGTAGAAGAAGCACTGCCAGAAAACAGATCTGGCAGAAGGTTTTAATTATTTAGGAGTGCTTTTGACTTATTTTACAACATGGAACCTTCTAAGATATGTGCCCTGAAACTAGATCAAAGAAAAAGGATTGGTATTGTATAGAAACATTTTTAGAGAAATGAAAAAGCAAAAAAGTCAGACAGAAATTATATTTCCGTAAAGTTACACCAAGTGTGCCTGCCTGTTCTGCCTCCCCTTCCACCCTCTTCTGCCTCTGCCATCCTGAGACAGCAAGACCAACCCCTCCTCTTCCTCCTCCTCCTCCTCCTCAGCCTACTCAGTGTGAAGACAAGGATGAAGACCTTTATGAGTATCCACTTCCACTTAATGAATACTAAATATGTTTTTGTTTCTTTATGATTCTCTTTTTCTTCTTTTTTTCCCCCCTGCTTCCTGGAAAGGTTTTCTTAATAACATTTTCTTTAATTTACTTTATTGTAAGAATACAATATATAATATTACACTCAAAATATGTGTTAACTGAATATATTATTAGTAAGGCTTCCAGTCAACAGTAGGCTATTAGTAGTTAAGTTTTAGGGAGTCAAAAGTTATATGCAGATTTTTGACTGCGTCAGGGGTCAGTGCCCCTCATCCTGGGGTTGTTCAAGGGTCAGCTGTACTAAGTGCTACTGTGCATTAGGCATTAAATTATGCAAATCAACTTATCTAACTCTCACAACAACTTTGAGGTTGGTGTTACTGTTATCTTAATTTTAGAGATGAAAAAAGTCAGGCACAGTTTTTTCTACGTTTACTAAAATAACTTGCCCAAGAGCACACAGCTAGCAAGTGGCAGACCCAAGCACTCTGGCTTCAGAGCCTGCTCTTTAAACCTGTACACCATACTGCCTGCTAGAGTCAAGTTGAATAGTCTATAAAGTCTCAAGTAGGTTTAGTTAAGTATTTTTAGTAGAGACAGGGTTTCACCATGTTGGCCAGGCTGGTCTCCAGCTCCTGACCTCAGGTGATCCACCCTCCTCTGCCTCCCAAAGTGCTGGGATTACAGGCGTGAGCCACCATGCCAGGCCTGTGTTTACATTTATTTAACCCTCACAACAACCTACTAGATTGGGAAACCTGTGAAATAACTGTGGTTATTTTATAGAAGGGGAAATTGAAGTACAGAAAAGTTATATAATTTGCCAGCAATTACAACACGAGTAAGTGGAGGAGCCAAGACTTGAATGTTTTTTCTGTACTGTACAAGAGAGATACAAAGACCCCAGTATATGTGCATCTACAATATACACACATGGACAGGCACACTCACATTTCTGCACCTACCATCCTATAGTGCTTGCTGTTTATACAAGAGATCCAACGGTTTCATGGCTCTGGGTCTCAAACCTTCTGCAATAACAGAGTTGCCAGATTGAGCAAGTAAAAATAAAGAATGGCCAGGCATGGTGGTTTATGCCTTTAGCCCCAGCACCTTGGGAGGCCAAGGCGGGTGGATCACCTGGGGTCAGGAGTTTGAGACCAGCCTGGCCAACATAGTGAAACCCCATCTCTACTAAAAATACAAAAATTAGCCGGGTGTGGTGGCACCCACCCGTAGTCCCAGCTACTTGGGAGGCTGAGACAGGAGAATCGCTTGAACCCAGGAGGTGGAGGTTGCAGTGAGCTGAGATCGCACCACTGCAGTCCAGGCTGGGTGACAGAGCGAGACTCTGTCTCAAAAAATAATAATAATAAAATAAAGGATGCAGGCCAGGCACTTTGGCTCACATACCTGTAATCCCAGTACTTTGGGAGGCAGAGGTGGCACAATTACTTGAGCCCAGGAGTTTGAGACCAGCCTGAGCAACATACTGACACCTCATCTCTAAAAAAGAAAAAAAATAATAATAATAGAAAATTAAAGATGCCCAGTTAAATTTGAAGTTTAGATAAGCACCAAATAATTTTAAATATATCTATGCAATATTTGGGACACACTTAAGCTTAAAAATGTTTTTGGTGTTTATCTGAAACTCAAATGTAACTGGGCATCCTGTATTTTATCTGGCAACCCTACTAAGGAGAAAAATTCCTATTTTGTCTTTCAAGTTCTAAGTCAAATGACTATTCCTACATAAAGTCTTCAGTCATTTCTCTGGGTAGTTTGTTTTTCCCTTCTGTTCTTTTATAATCTCACCTGCATCTATCCATTATAATATGTATTACTTTGATTGTAGGCGCCTGATCCTTCCCATTCCGACCTTTTATCTTTTGTGGGGAAAGCGTTTTATGTTCATCTCTGAATTCCCAAACTTGGAGATGTTGAATGATTGAAATGGTAATTGAATAAACATTTACTGAGAGCCAGTAGGTTTAAGAGGAGGAATGAAGGAGAACCAGCATTTATTAATTGCCTTCTATATGCTAAATATAGTGCTGATTGCTTAGAATATTTAATGCCCCTTAGGCCTTATTAATAAAATGGAGGGGCAGTCTTTGGCTGCAGGAAGATCACATTCTCCTGAGGCCTATAACATTTGGCATAAATAACTGATGCCATTCTAGTCTCTGTATCTCCTTTCTGAGAAAGCTGAACCTGGGCCTAGTTGGCGTAGAACTCCAGTTTCCATAGAAACAAGAGGGTCTGTAAAAGTCGAGGGAGACAGGAAGAGCAGTTTGCACTTCCGGCTTACGTCAGACACGCGTACAACCCGGAAGTTGAGGCAGCGCGTTTGCTTATGGTCGCTCCCTGAGAGGATGCCGCTCGTGGTGTTTTGTGGGCTGCCGTACAGCGGCAAGAGCCGACGAGCTGAAGAGTTGCGCATGGCGCTGGCTGCTGAGGGCCGCGCGGTGTACGTGGTGGATGACGCAGCTGTCCTGGGCGCAGAAGACCCAACCGTGTACGGCGATTCTGCCCGTGAGAAGGCATTGCGTGGAGCTCTGCGAGCCTCCGTGGAACGGCGCCTGAGTCGCCACGACGTGGTCATCCTGGACTCACTTAACTACATCAAAGGTTTCCGTTACGAGCTCTACTGCCTGGCACGGGCAGCGCGCACCCCGCTCTGCCTGGTCTACTGCGTACGGCCCGGCGGCCCGAGCGCGGGACCTCAGGTGGCGGGCGCGAATGAGAACCCGGGCCGGAACGTCAGTGTGAGTTGGCGGCCACACGCTGAGGAGGACGGGAGACCCCAGGCGGCGGGCAGCAGCGTCCTCAGGGAACTGCATACTGCGGGCTCTGTAGTAAATGGAAGTGTCCAGGCCGACGTACCCAAGGAGCTGGAGCGAGAAGAATCCGGGACTGCAGAGTCTCCAGCTCTCGTGACTCCGGAATCAGAGAAATCTGCAAAGCACGTGTCCAGTTCCTTTTACTCTCCAGAACTCCTGGAGGCCCTAACGCTGCGCTTTGAGGCTCCCGATTCTCGGAATCGTTGGGACCGGCCTTTATTCACTTTGGTGGGCCTAGAGGAGCCGTTGCCCGTGGCGGGGATCCGCTCTGCCCTGTTTGAGAACCGAGCCCCACCACCCCATCAGTCTACGCAGTCCCAGCCGCTCGCCTCCGGCAGCTTTCTGCACCAGTTGGACCAGGTCACGAGTCAAGTACTGGCCGGATTGATGGAAGCGCAGAAGAGCGCTGTCCCCGGGGACTTGCTCACGCTTCCTGGTACCACAGAGCACTTGAGGTTTACCCGGCCCTTGACCATGGCAGAACTGAGTCGCCTTCGTCGCCAGTTTATTTCGTACACTAAAATGCATCCCAACAATGAGAACTTGCCCCAACTGGCCAACATGTTTCTTCAGTATCTGAGCCAGAGCCTGCACTAACCAAAGGAGGTAGGGAGAAGCCATGGCTTCTGATCTCCACTCCACATTATTTCTCTGGGAAGAATAAGCTGAAGGTCTCCAGAGCATATCGATGCAGTACTGTACTAGAGCTGTTGTGACTGATTGACTCAAACTTTCCTGCATGCCCCTGTGCCAGTCCTTGGGTTTACAGCATAAGTTGAGACTAAAGAGAATGGAGAACTATCGTGGCGCATCCTGGCAAATCCCTCCAGAGAACGGAGCTCAGGTGGACAGGGATTGCCTAGATGGGATCCTACTTGGGATATCACAGAGCGTTGACCATTGACTTCCTTCATCTGAGGCGTGGGAGAGCAGACTGGATGGATGAGAATTGTTTTAAAACAATTGTGAACAGAAACTGAAGATGGCACAGTTCTACATCTGCACCTGCCCTTTTATCATACCACAAAAGTATTTTTTGAGTACTGTACTGACTTTTTGCTAGTCTCTATTCTGGGACTGAGTTCACAGATAACTACATTGGTGTCTATCCTTGGGAAACTTTTGTTTTTGTGGAAGTAAGCAAGTTATCTACTAGATTATTTCCTCTAATAAAATCTTTAAAAATAGTCTACTGGAATTTCTTTCACTTAATATTCCCTGTGTAACTTTCATGTTAACATTTTAGGTATACTTGTCATTGTTCCTTTAAGTGAAGTAGTATTTTGATAGTTCTGAGAGAGTAAATGTTTTGATCTACTCTAGAGTAATTATGTTGTGACAATTTCCATAACTGTTGTGCTTCATTCTATATTTCAAGGCAAATATTGTAAGCTTGTCAATTTCATTCTTCATTGATTTCATTGAACAAATGAAATTAAAGTAGTACTTACTTTAACAGTGCCTGTGATTTTCAAAGACCAATTAGATACAGTATTTTTGATCTTGAGATATGTGGTGAGAAGCTGGGTGTGGTGGTTCATGCTTGTAATCCCAGCACTTTGGGAGTCCGAAATCGAGGTGAGGAATTCGAGACCAGCCTGGCCAATGTGGCAAAACTCCGTCTCTACTCACAATACAAAAATTAGTCGGGCATGATGGTGTACCTGTGTACCTGTAATGGTGTACCTGTAATCCCCAGCTACTCTGGAGGCTGAAGCACGAGAATTGCTTGAACCTGGGAGGTGGAGGTTGCAGTGAGCTGCGATCACACCACTGCACTCCAGCCTGGGCAACAGTGAAACTCGAAAAACAAAGAGATATGTGGTGAGAAATACAAGTAAAAGATACAATTATGCTGGGTGCAGTGGCTCACGCCTGTAACCCCAGCACTTCGGGAGGCCAAGGTGGGTGGATCAATGAGGTCAGGTGTTCAAGACCAGCCTGACCAACATGGTGAAACCCTGTCTCTACTAAAAAAAGAAAAAGTAGCCGGGCGAGGCGGCCTGTGCCTGTAATCCCAGCTACTCAGGAGGCTGAGGCAGGAGAATCGCTTGAACCTGGGAGGTGGAGGTTGCAGTGAGCCGAGATTGTGCCACTGCACTCCAGCCTGGGTGACAGAGTGAGACTCCATCTCAAAAAAAAAAAAAAAAAAAAGGATGAAATGGGCTGGTGGTCAGAGGATGATGACAAAGGACAAAATGTTTTGGAAACCTGGTGAAAAAGACTAGCTGTTGGGAGAGGTGGTTTTGGAAAGGTTTTATAGAGGAGTTAACACTTGAACCATCACTCTAGAATAATGTCAGTAAAGGGCCAAATAGTAAATGTTTTTAGGCTTTGTGGACCATGAAATACTGTTGCTACTTATAGATGGTAAGTAAACATGAGCATGAATGTATTTTAATAAAACTACACTCAACTGTGAATTACAGTTTTAACATCACAAAGGAGTCTTTTAGATTTGCTTTGCAAACATTGAAAAGTGTAAAAATATACAACAAAATAGGCGATGGGCTGGATTTGGCCTGCAGACCCTAGTTTGCCGTCCCCTGCTCTAGAGGGATAAATAGATGTTTGCCAGGGAGAAAAGAGAAAGCAAGACATTCTAAAACATGCGTGCTCTGAAGCTATGGAGCTATTAAAAGATGGGGTAGATGGGCTGCCTTGGTTCATGGTATATTCCTTGCTTGTGAGGTAATCTATACTACCTTTTGTTTCTGATAAACAAGAGGATTCATGTGTGAAATGGAGTTTGGATGAGGCAAACTCAAAAGGCTTTTTCCAACCTTCATTCAGTTGGTTATTGATTGAATTGGGCTTAACCATGGATTCTGGGTTACCTTTCTAAATTGAAGGAGACTGTAACAGAAAGAACATTGGTTTTGAAGTTGGACTTCTGAGTTACCTAGTAAGTGGCAGAACCTTGGGTTTTGTTTTGGGTTTTTATATTTATTTATATATTTATCTATTTATTTATTTTTGAGACAAGGTCTGGCTGTCTCCCAGGCTGGAGTGCAGTGCTGTAAGTAGCTGGGACTACAGGCGTGCACCCCATGATGGCTAAGTTTCGTATTTTTTTGTAGAGACAGGTTTTCACCATGTTGCTCTGGCTGGTCTTGAACTTGTGAGCTTAAGTGATCCCCCAGCCTCGGCCTCCCAAAGTGCTGAGATTACAGGTGTGAGCCACTGCGTCCAGCCTAGAACCTAGATTTTATGTGGCCAAATATTTACTATATTGAGCATTTCAGTTTTCTCATTTATATTGTGAGACCATTAATAGTATCTACCCTAGGGTTATTTTGAGGATTTAAATGAGATAATGCATATACAGCACAATGTCATATAATAAACGTTCAGCACATTTTGGCTACTATAGTTACCTATATCCTACTACCCACCTAAACTTGCCCTGCTCATTTGGTTTACAAGCTTTTATAAGTATTGCAGGCAGAGGTCCATCCAGATGTGAGGTAGGCCTAAGGTGAGGAGGCTGAATGATTCATTTGACACTTACTAAATGGGTTAATTTATGTATATTTACAGTAGTGCCTGGCACATGGCAAATGCTATATAAGTGTTTGCTATCAATAATATATGTGTCAGATGTAAGGGATATAGAGGCAGCTAAGAGTTCTTTGTCTTAGGAATCTCCAAGTCCAGTGGAGGGAGATGGGTAAATAATAGATATAGATCAATATGTTAAGTGCATGGTAGCTATTATACAGTGTATGTTATGGTGACATGGGGTTGTGTGATGGCGAAAGCCAATGGCTACCTACCTACATGGGGTCTTCCAACTGTCATTTGAGCCTTGAGAGCTTAAGAGCTTCCTCTAGCCAGTCTGGTTCAGGTGGATTGCATTGCTCATTGTGAACACTTTCCTCCCTGATTATAAAAATTATACTGTAGAAAAATCATGAAATATAGATGTAGTATAGGAAAACATCCACAGTGCCATCATCCACAGAAAACTGCTATTATGTTTTGGTACATTTAGGCTCTTTTCTCTGTACATATTTTATAATTAAAACCAGACTATAGATACTTCTGTATCCTAGTTTTTTTATATAAGCTACCAATTAAAAATTATTTTCAATGATTATATAATAATAATCATTTAGAAATGCTGTTAACATTTTTTTTTTTGTTTTGAGACAGAGTCTGTTCTGTCTGCCAGGCTGGAGTGTAGTGGTGCGATCTCGACTCGCTGCAACCTCTGCCTCCCAGGCTCAAACAATTCTCATACTTCAGCCACCCCGGTAGCTGGGACTACAGGCGTGTGCCACCACACCCAGCTACTTTTTGTATTTTTAGTAGAGGCAGGGTTTTGTTATGTTGGCCAGGCTGGTCTTGAACCCGTGGCCTCAAGTGATCCGCCCACCTCAGCCTCCCAAAGTGCTGGGATTACAGGCATGAGCCACCATGCCCAGCCCTCCCTAACTTTAAAGCCCAAATTTGTAGAATTTACAGAAATGCTAGAATTTATCAATAATTTTGTTACAGCAATTACCTATTATTATTGAACATTTAAGTTGTCTAACGATTTTCCCAATTGAAATAATACTACAGAAATGTCTTCATATATTAATCTTCATCTCATTAAATTTCAAGAAGTAGAATTACTAGATTATAATTTCTTTGTTTTGCTTTTAAGTGGACTGCCCCTGATGGTGATTATTCATAAATCCTGGTGTGGAGCTTGCAAAGGTAAGTGTAAGTGCTCAATCTAAATACAAAACTCAGATGTGTTGTCAAATATTAACATTTAACAAATATTGGCACTGACTCTGGCCCAGCACTGCTGACTGTTGAAGGAATACTAAAGAAATATATGACATAGATTTCCTGCCTTCATGAAATTTGCAATTATATTTGGAGAGGATTTTAGGGAAGGTAAGGGGATTAAGATACAGTTATGTCAGGCCAGGCACGGTTGCTCACGCCTGTAACCCCAGCACTTTGGGAGGCCGAGGTGGGAGGATCACGAGGTCAGGAGTTTGAGACCAGCCTGGCCGATATGGTGAAACGTCGTCTCTACTAAAATACAAAAGTTAGCCGGGCGTGGTGGTGCGTGCCTGTACTCCCAACTACTCAGGAGGCTGAGGCAGGAGACTCGCTTGAACCTGGGAGGTGGAGGTTGCGGTGAGCCAAGATTGTGCCACTGCACTCCAGGCTGGGCAACACAGCGAGACTCCATCTTGAAAAAAAAAAATACAGTTATGTCACGTATGGGATGAAGTGCTAAAATATCACAGGAACAATACATATTAGAGGAAGCTGAAATGTACAGACAGAGACATGAGAAGGATGTAGGAACCAAATTAGAACCCAAGTTATCTGACTCTGTGGCATGTGTTCTTTCTGCTATACCACCTTGCCACTTCTGCAGACAGGTTTTTTCTTTTATTTGGTATGCTACACTTAAAGTCCTAGATGGAAAAGGAGTATAAAAAATAGTTAGTGGAAAAAGCCAGGCACCTGTAATACCAGCACTTTGGGAGGCTGGGGTGGGAAGATCACTTGAGGCCAGGAGTTGACCAGCCTGCCCAACATAGTGAAACCCCGACTCTACTAAAAATACAAAAAAATTAGCTGGGTTTGGTGGCACGTGCCTGTAATCCCAGCTACTCAGGAGGCTGAGAATTCCTTGAGCCTGAGAGGTGGAGGTTGCAGTGAGCTGAGATCATGCCATTGCACTCCAGCGTGGGCGACAGAGTGAGACTCTGTTTCAAAAATATTAATAATATATATACACATACATATATGTATACACACACACACACATATATACACCTGTGGCAGACTCACTCTATTGTCTTTCACTTCAATGGTTTTTGAAATGTAGCTATGAAAAGCAAATAATGCATTTCCCCCCATTTGTATGCCATTATCCTTATTTTATAAATGAGGTAACAGCTTCAGAGAAATGAAGTAAGTCACTCAAGGTCACATAGCTATGCAGGTTCAGAATCCAGGTAGGCTAATTCTTCTTTTTGAGAGTGTAAAAAAAGGTTTGTTATGTGAATCATCTCAATAAATGCCTAAACTACCAAAGAGAAATAGTGTTGCTTATGTTTATTAAGGTTTGGTTGTGACAATGATGTTTTTTCTTCTATTTCAAAACCTTTTTTCCCCCCAGCTCTAAAGCCCAAATTTGCAGAATCTACAGAAATTTCAGAACTCTCCCATAATTTT